CGGTACAAAAATAACTGTAGACTCTAAATCTTTGATATGAGCTAGAGAAGGTTTACACTCCTTTAGCTAAGATTACACGCTTTAAAAATGTGCTCCAGAGGGCAGACAGCAGAAGCAAGAAGTACAATCCTGCAGCCTGTGGAGCAAAAACCACATTCACAGAAAGATAGACAAGGTGAAAAGTCAGAGGGCAATGTACCAGATGAAGGAACAAGATAAAACCCCAGAAAAACAACTAAATGAAGTGGAGATAGACCACCTCCCGGAAAAAGAGTTCAGAATAATGATAGTGAAGATGATCCAGGACCTCGGAAAAAGAATGGAGGCAAAGATCTAGAAGATGCAAGAAATGTTTAACAAAGACCTAGAAGAATTAAAAAACAAACAAACAGAAATGAACAATACAATAACTGAAATGAAAAGTACACTACAAGGAATTAATAGCAGAATAACTGAGGCAGAAGCACTGATAACTGACCTGGAAGACAGAATGGTGGAATTTACTGCTGCAGAACAGAATAAAGAAAAAAGAATGAAAAGCAATAAAGACAGCCTAAGAGACCTCTGGGACAACATTAGACACAACAGCATCCACATTATAGGGGTCCCAGAAGGAGAAGAGAGAGAGAAAGGACCCGAGAAAATATTTGAAGCGATTATAGTCGAAAACTTCCCTAACATGGTAAAGGAAATAGCCACCCAAGTCCAGGAAGCTCAGAGAGTTCCACACAACATAAACCCAAGGAGAAACACGCCGAGACACATAGTAATGAAATTGGGAAAAATTAAAGACTAAGAAAAATTATTGAAAGCAGCAAGGGAAAAACGACAAATAACATACAAGGGATCTCCCATAAGGTTCAGAGCTGATTTCTCAGCAGAAACTCTACAAGCCAGAAGGGAGTGGCATGACATGTTTAAAGTGATGAAAGGAAGAACGTACAACCAAGATTACTCTACTCAGCAATAATCTCATTCAGATTCGATGGAGAAATCAAAAGCTTTACAGACAAGCAAAAGCTAAGAGAATTCAGCACCACCAAACCAGCTCTACAACAAATGCTAAAGGAACTTCTGTAAGTGGGAAACACAAGAGAAGAAAAGGACCTACAAAAACAAACCCAAAACAATTAAGAAAATGGTAGTAGGAACATACATATCAATAATTACCTTAAACGTGAATGTATTAAATGCTCCAACTAAAAGACACAGGCTCGCTGAATGGATACAAAAGCAAGACCCATGTGTATGCTGTCTACAAGGGACCCACTTCAGACCTAGGACACATACAGCCTGAAAATGAGGGGATGGAAAAAGATATTCCATGCAAATGGAAATCAAAAGAAAGCTTGAGTAGCAATACTCAGATGAAATAGAATTTAAAGAATGTTACAAGAGACAAGGAGGATAATGATCAAGGGATCAATCTAGGAAGAAGATATAACAATTATGAATATATATGCACCCAACATAGAAGCACCTCAATACATAAGGCAACTGCTAACAACTATAAAAGTGGAAATTGACAGTAACACAGTAATAATGGGGGACTTTAACACCTCACTTACACCAATGGACAGATCAGCCAAACAAAATTAATAAGACAACACAAGCTTTAAATGAAACAATAGACCAGATAGATTTAATTGGTATTTATAGGACATTCCATACAGAAACAACAGAATACACTTTCTTCTCAAGTGCACACGGAACATTCTCCAGGATAGATCGCATCTTGGGTCACAAATCAAGCCTCAGTAAATTTAAGAAAATTGAAATCATGTCAAGCATCTTTTCTGACCACAGTGCTATGAGATTAGAAATCAGTTACAGGGAAAAAAACATAAAAAACACAAACACTTGAAGGCCAAACAATACGTTACTAAATAACCAAGAGATCACTGAAGAAATCAAAGAGGAAATCAAAAAATACCTAGAGACAAATGACAATGAAAACACGACGATCTAAAACCTATGGAATGCAGCAAAAGCAGTTATAAGATGGAAGTTTATAGCTATACAAGCCTACCTCAAGAAACAAGAAAAATCTCAAATAAACAATCTAACCTTACACCTAAAAGAAGTAGAGAAAGAAGAACAAGCAAAACCCAAAGTTAGTAGAAGGAAAGAAATGATAAAGATCAGAGCAGAAATAAGTGAAATAGAAACAAAGAAAACAGTAGCAAAGATCAATAAAACTAAAAGCTGGTTGTTTGAGAAGATAAACAAAATTGATAAACCATTAGCCAGACTCATCAAGAAAAAGGAGAGGGCTCAAATCAATAAAATTAGAAATGAAAAAGAAGTTCCAGCAGACACCGCAGAAATACAAAGCATCCTAAGACTACTACAAGCAACTCTCTGCCAATACAATGGACAACCTGGAAGAAATGGACAAATTCTTAGAAAGGTGTAACTTACCAAGACTGAACCAGGAAGAAATAGAAAATATGAACAGACCAATCACAAGTAATGAAATTGAAACTGTGATTAAAAATCTTCTAAGAAACAAAAGTCCATTAACCAGATGGCTTCACAGGTGAATTCTATCAAACATTTGGAGAAGAGCTAACACCCGTCTTTCTCACTCTTCCAAAAAATTGTGGAGGAAGGAACACTCCCACACTCATTCTATGAGGACACCAAAACCAGACAAAGATACTACAAAAAAAATTACAGACCAATATCACTGATGAATATAGATGCAAAAATCCTCAACAAAATACTAGCAAGCAGAATCCAACAGTATATTAAAAGGATCATATACCATGAGGAAGTGGGATTTATCCCAGGAATGTAATGATTCTCCAATATATGCAAATAATCAGTGTGATACACCATATTAACAAATTGAAGAATATGGTCAAACCATATGATCATCTCAATAGATACAGAAAAAGCTTTTGACAAAATTCAACACCCATTTATGACAAAAACTCTCCAGAAAGTGAGCATAGAGGGAACCTACCTCAACATAATAAAGGCCATGTACGACAAACCCACAGCAAACATCATTCTCAATGGTGAAAAACTCAAAGCATTTCCTCTAAGATCAGTAAGAAGAGAAGGATGTCCACTCTCACCACTGTTTTTCAACATAGTTTTGGAAGTCCTAGCCATGGCAATCAGAGAAGAAAAAGAAATAAAAAGAATACAAATTGGAAAAGAAGAAGTAAAACTGACACTGCAGATGACATGATACTATACATAAAGAATCCTAAAGATGCGACCAGAAAACTACTAGAGCTAATCAATGAATTTGGTAAAGTTGCAGGATACAAAATTAGTGCACAGAAATCTCTGGCATTCCCATACACTAGTGATGAAAAATCTGAAAGAGAAATTAAGGAAACACTACCATTTACCATTGCAACAAAAAGAATAAAATACCTAGGAATAAACCTACCTAGGGAGACAAAAGACTTGTATGCAGAAAAGTATAAGACACTGATGAGAGAAATTAAAGATGATACAAACAGATGGAAATACATACCATGTTCTTGAACTGGAAAAATCAATATTGTGAAAATGACTGTACTACCCAAAGCAATCTACAGATTCAGTGCAATCCCTATCAAATTACCAATGGCATTTTTTATAGAACTAAGCAAAAAATCTTAAAATTTGTGTGGAGACACAAAAGACCCCGAATAGCCGAAGCAGTCTTGAGGGAAAAAAATGGAGCTGGAGGAATCAGGCTTCCAGACTTCAGACTATACTACAAAGCTACAGTAATCAAGACAGTATGGCACTGGCACAAAAATAGAAATATAGATCCCAGGAACTGGATAGAAAGTCCAGAGATGAACCCATGCACCTATGGTCAACTAATCTATGACAAAGGAGGCAGGGATATACAATGGAGAAAAGACAGTCTCTTCAGTAAGTGGTGCTGGGAGAACTGGACAGCTACATGTAAAAGACTGAAATTAGAACACTCCCTAGCACCATACACAAAAATAAAGTCAAAATGGATTTGAGACCTAAATGTAAGACCAGACACTATAAAACTCTTAGAGGAAAACATAGGAACAACACTCTTTGACATAAACCACAGCAAGATCTTTTTTGACCCACCTCCTAGAGTAAGAAATGAAAATAGGGCTTCCCTGGTGGTGCAGTGGTTGAGAGTCTCCCTGCCGATTCAGGGGACACGGGTTCGTGCCCTGGTCCGGAAGGATCCCACATGCCATGGAACAGCTGGGCCCGTGAGCCATGGCTGCTGAGCCTGCGCCTCTGGAGCCTGTGCTCCACAGAGGGAGAGGCCACAACAGTGAGAGGCCCATGCACCGCAAAAAAGAAAGAAAGAAAGAAAACAAAAGTAAACATATGGGACTTAATTAAGCTTAAAAGCTTTAACACAGCAAAAGAAACTACAAATGATGAAAAGACAACCCTTAGAATGGGAGAAAATATTTGCAGACGAATCAGTGGACAAAGGATTAATCTCCAAAATATATAAACTGCTCATGCAGCTCAACATTAAAAAAACAAACAACCCAATCCATAAATAGGCAGAAGACCTAAATAGACATTTGTCCAAAGAAGGCCAAGAAGCACATGAAAAGCTGCTGAACATCACTAATTATTAGAGAAATGCAAATCAAAACTACAATGAGGTATCACCTCACACCAGTTAGAGTGGGCATCATCAGATAATCTGCAAACAACAAATGCTCGAGAGGGTGTGGAGAGGAGGAACCCTCTGGCATTGTTGGTGGGAATGTACATTGATGCAGCGGCGGGGTGGTGGGGGTGGTGGGATGAATTGGGAGACTGGTACTGACGTATATACACTAACATGTTTAAAATGGATAACTAATAAGAACCTGCTATATAAAAAATAAAGAAAATAAAATTCAAAAAATAAAAATGTGCTCCAAATTTTAGTTTATGTTGGAATAACTAAATAGAATTGTCAAAACATGATGCTTTGGAATTTGCATTACTTAAGAGTTGTCCATTTTCTGACTTGATTCTTGTTTCCCTCCTAACTGCAGTGTGTAATGCATCTTGAAGACCGGTTACAGGAGCTATACTTCAAGAGCAAAATGCTGTCTGAGTACCTGAGGGGGCAGATGCGTGTTCATGTCAAGGAGCTGGGAGTGGTTTTAGGGTATGTTCCTGATTCCTTTTCCGGCTTTGCTTTCTCGTTTCACTGTGTTTATTTAGGCAAGGAATATTTCTCAGAATTGCCTTTTTTGTTTTTAAGTTTTTTGTCTTGTTAGAAGCTGTATACTGTTCTCAGCTGGGTTGTTCTATACCAGCGGTCCCCAACCTTTTTGGCACCAGGGATCAGTTTCCATTTCCACCAACGGGGTGTGGGGAATGGCTTAGGCAGTAATGCGAATGATGGGGAGCGGCTGATGAAGCTTTGCTCACTTACCCACCGGCCACTTCCTGCTGTGCGGCCTGGTTCCTAACAGGCCACAGACTAGTACCAGTCCATGGCCTGTTGGTTGGGGACCCCTGTTGTATACAGTATAAAAGCAGAACCCTGTCCTACACTGATCTGAAATGCACTTTCTCTTGTGCAATTACAGTAGGTTGAGAATATAGTCGAATAAAAAGGAATTAAAGTCTAAATTTTTGCATTAGAAAAAAATAAGTAAGTATTCGTTTTTATTTATTAAATATGTTGTAAACTCATCATTCCCAGCATCTGCTCAGCCATCCAAATGATCTGATTGAAGTAATGGCATGCTATGGATGATGGTATATTATCTACATATTATTACTCCTTCCCCATTATCTATATATTATGTCTTTATACTCTGAAGTTATTCCTGGGAAGAAGCTAGTTATCTAAAATGCTAACTGAAGGGCAAACAGGAAATCGGTGAGAGGCATAGTATAGCCCCTTTCATTATGTTCTGTGGTCACTTTCCCTGTGTTCTATGTCCACTTTGTGTGTGAAAATTATTTCTTGAAATGCTGGTTGAATAAATTAAAACAAGCTAGAACTTCTGTCTAATTTCAGCTTTTATGAAGGGAGAAAGAACCAACATCGAGTTGCTACTGTATGTTTGAAACCAAATTAAATTCTTTCATTAATGTTATTGCTTATTATCCAGATTGGAAATAGATGATTCTCTGCATGTAATGCCTTTATTTTTAGAAAATTTAAACTAATTTTTAAAGTAATGTACATATAATGAAAGTTTCAGTGCATTTTGGCATAAAGTGAAAAGTAAGTCTTTTCCTCAACTTCCAGTCCTCAGTCAAACACAGTTAATGGATTGTTTCTTCTTACAGAATTTTTAAATGTGTAGGTTTAAAAATATAAATTAATTTGTACTCTATATATCTTTGTGCAGCTTGCCTTTTAATGTATCTTGAATGTTTGTTCATTTAAGCACATACCACACATACTGATCTATATCATTTTTAATGGCTATATTGCATTCCATTATATGGTGGAATTCATTTTCAGTGTTTTGCTGTTACAAATCAATGCTGGAATAAATATAAACCTTTGAGGTTTGTAGGATAAATTTCTTTGATGTAGAATTTTTGAATTAAAGGCCATATGTGATTAAATTGTTGGTATTTTAACAGTAATAGTAAATGCTATCCAGAAAGTACCAGAATAAGTTTTCATGAACAGTGGGAAGCACACTCTTCTTACTGCTATTTATTACCAAACTTTTTAATCTTCGCCAAGCTACTAGCTGAAAAATGAAATCTGATTTTATTCAGATTTATTCTCTAACCAGGAGTGTGTCTGCATTAACTTATTTTGATATTTATTGGCCATTTTTCTTTTCCTATAAGCTATTTGTGGTAGGTTATATTTTTAAGAGGCTTCCATTATGTCTTCCCAGTAAATCTTATTATAGAAACATTTGTATCCAAAACAATATGGCTGCACACTATTATTCTGTTATTATACTATATAATATATTTTTTTAAAATAAATTTATTTATTTATTTATTTTTGGCTGCGTTGGGTCTTCGTTGCTGGGCATGGGCTTTCTCTAGTTTCAGCAAGCGGGGGCTACTCTTCATTGTGGTGAGCGGGCTTCTCATTATGGTGGCTTCTCTTTGTTGTGGAGCACAGGCTCTAGGCACGCAGGCTTCAGTAGTTGTGTCACGTGGGCTCAGTAGTTGTGGTGCACAGGCTTAGTTGCTCCGCGGTATGTGGAATCATCCCGGACCACGGCTCAAACCTGTGTCGCCTGCATTGGCAGGTGGCTTCTTAACCACAGCGCCACCAGTGAAGTCCCTATGTGGTATTTCTTAGACATTATCCCTTGCCCTGATTCATGGTCCATCAGCACATCAGTGAGATGGTTTCCTGCATTCATGACTTTGTTACTGTTGGGTTTCAGAGGCTTTCTTTTTTAAAAATCTTTAGTCACGGTTTTTACTTACTGAAAAATTTCTAATTTTCATTATCTTCAGTTCTTTTAGCCTTTTCCTTTTGGCCAGGGTGGCCATGCTCCTTGAGTGGAGATGTATAGTGACCTTATAGATAGCAGTCATTGCCTGTAGGAATAAACCTGAACTGAGATTTTTTTTTTAAATTTCAGGATTGAATCCAGTGATCTTCCTCTTCTGGCTGCTGTAGCAAGCACTCACTCTCCATATGTTGCTCAGATACTACTTTAACAGAAAGGCTGTTGGAAATTAACTTTGGTGGAAAGTTAAGTAGAAACCAAGGAAGCAGTCACAACATGCATTTATGGCAATTTTTTTTCTCTCTCAGACCTTCATCTGAATGAGTCAGTCACTTGGGTGGGTAGGGTATTCTGCATTGCAGTGCATATTGTGTCATCACTGGATGGCTTTTTCATTTTGATTGGACTTCTGGATGGTGGCAGATTTTTAACCAAGTGAAACTAAAAACAGCATTTGGGGGGAAAGCATTTGAAGAAGCCAAAGTGTAACTTCGACGTTTCTACAAAATGAATAACATTGAGGAATTTCATTATGATCACTACAGTCTTGCCACAACCCATAAGTAGGAGGAATGGATATCTCATGATTAAATGGCTCAGAAAGAGTCATTTCATTAGTTTTAATTCTTTATTTCTAAGGTACAAAGATCTATGAAACTTTATTTGTGTTTTTTTGTTTTTCAATTCAAAATAGCTGATTTCTGGGTATTTCTCAAAGTATTTTAAACAGCTTGTTAATTGGAATAAACTCAGAATAAAGCATATAAATCTGTGTTATGTTATCCATCCAAGTGTACATATGTATCTATTTTTTAAAAAAGCAGAGGTAGAAATACAAGATTGGTAAACATGCCTTTTTAAAAAATATATTTTCAACTAGGATTAATTGTATATAATGTTGAAATATTACTTTCTGGTGATTTTTCTGTTTCACACACCCTAAAATATAAGTAAAGCCAATCTTTTTTTAAGGCTGAGGAATGTAGATTCCCAAAATAAGAATACTACTTTATACCATTTGTTTTGTTTATAAGTATAAGCTAATTCTTATAAATGTTAATATTTACGTATTTGCATTTAATTTAATAAATTAAAATTAGGATTAAAAATTGCACCAAAGCATTGGCAGAAATAATACTATTTTCTTTAAAAGTGCTCAGGTAGCCGAGGCCCTTGGTTTCGGTATCAGCCCTTCTTGAACCCATAGGAACTGAATATTTGTTTCACTGCTTCATAATATTCAGTTTACACTAAAAGAACTCATTAACTCTTAAGATTGTTTTTTTTCTCTAATAGCTCCTCTCTTCCGAAAGCTAACTTTTTTCAAAGATTTCAACTTTTCAGTTGTTATTGTTTTTGTATATATTGTAGAGTGTTGCTTGTGAGAAAGGCTAATATGGAACCAAACTCTTGTAAGTAATGTAAATAGAAAGATGGGTAGATAAAGTTTTCATTATGCTCTACTACCTCAGTTTACTTGAAATACTACATTATAGTTTATCCTTTACTTATCTGGTCTAAGATGCTTTTAATGCTAGAAGTGAAGCTGGTTTCTGCTTTCATGAACTATTTTCATCATAATTAGTTGATTAGCTTAAAACAGAAAACCACTTGCTCATTCTGTTTCTAGGTACATTTTGTCTATAATGCATCTGTTCTTGCTATTTAAGTTTTCAATAATTAAGGAAGATTTCTGTGGTTTATTTAGTCTTTGACCTTGAATTTATAACATTGGGTCACATTTTGTCTTACTCTAATCTCCAGCTAGACTAAGAAGAAATGGTTATTTTAATGGAATGTAAACCTGAAATTGGTGTGCTTGCAATTGCTTTGGCCCCTGTGTCCTATCAGCTGGTCCCAGTTAGTACCAGAGTCTTCCATGGATGACTTGCTGTCAAAGAGTGTTTATGGATGCATTTTCGTTAGCTTAATTTTTTTAGTCTATTCATTAATGAAGTTCTTCTCTCATCTGTTGTTTGGAATTTTATGAATCAATCTCTTTAGCAGAATTCAGAATATAGAAAAGATCATTTATGGCCACTGTACATTTTTTTTTTAAATTGTAGTTCAGGATATGTAGCAGGTAGACAGTGTCTTTTTTATGTGTGTTATTGTTTAAATTAATCATTGAACTATTCACAGTCCTATCTATTTGAAATCTCTAATAAATTACCATTTAGGAAATCTAGTCTTCAATAAACGGATGGCTCATGCTACTGTAATTCTTAAAACTAAGCTTTGCTTGAAAGGAAAAGGCCTATAGTTTCCTATAGAATCATCAATCCTTATACGATTCCTGAGTTTTATAATTTGCAGTTCTTCTCTAATTTCTGCTCCTACGTCAGTAGTCATTCTTGCATTACACAAAGCCCAAGGAATGAGCTGCTACTTCTTTAAAGTGTGATCATAATGATGAATGTGAAAAGAATTTTTGGCCTGTTCAAAATAATTTTTTTCAACTTCTTACGGTACAGATAGATATATGTTACACATTTTAAAAACCTATTTGTTGCAACAGGAGTTGAAAAAGGGATCTTTTACATTATAGATTTTAAACTAATTTTTCCTGTATATAAACTAATTGGTTTGATTTTAAATATTCCTGGCTTTTATTAATATGTCTTAATTTTGAGTTTGAAAATGTTAAGTGCAATAAACATACTAGCACAGATTTCATTTTGTTGCAATTGGCATACACTGGGGATGACCACTTTAAAAAAAAACAGATTTTACACAATGCCTACTTCTGGTAGATGTCTTATGAGATTGTTATGCTTTAAGTTATTTAGATGGTGGGAGATGTAAAATGTAAATACTTGTTTCTTGTTCTGTATACATTTCTCAAATGTACGTCTGTATTATAATAACCTCCCAGTTCTAGGGGATATTTGTGCAATAAATACACATGTCAATTTGATGGATGATGTTCTTTCTTTCACATTTAATAAGGTATATGTAACATGGATTCTGGTGCCGGCCCACCTGGATTGTTTTCCCAAATGTGACACTTCTAGGCATGTGGCCTTGTTCATAATGTCCTTCTCTAGTCCTAAATTTCTGTATTGGTAACTTAGTAGAATCTACTTTATGAGGTTGTTGTGAGAGTCAAGTGAAATAATGAATGTCAAAAATTTATCTCAATGCTTGGCACACTCCAAATGCTCAGTAATTTTGGGGTGCTATGGTTGCTAGGTAATCTATCTAGCCTTTGCTGTACAGCTCCTATCTATTTTATTTTGGGGGAAATTTAACATTCTTTATTTTTTAAATTTTTGGCTGCGTTGGGTCTGTTGCTGTGCGTGGGCTTTCTCTAGTTGTGTTGAAAGGGGGCTACTCTTCGTTGCGGTGCACAGGCTTCTCATTGCGGTAGCTTCTCTTGTTGTGGAGCATGGGTTCTAGGCGTGGGCTTCAGTAGTTGCAGCTCGCAGGCTCAGTAGTTGTGGCACACAGGCCCTAGAGCGCGCGGGCTTCAGTAGTCGCAGCATGTGGGCTCAGTAGGTTGTGGCTTGCAGGCTCTAGAGTGCAGGCTCAGTAGTTGCAGCGCACAGGCTTAGTTGCTCCGCAGCATGTGGGATCTTCCCGGACCAGGGCTCAAACCCATGTCCCCTGCATTGACAGGCGGATTCTTAACCATTGCGCCACCAGGGAAGTCCTAACATATATTCTTTTGAGTTAAAGTGTAGTAACCAAAAAATATGGTATATTCTTACATTTGACCTAATCTTCACAATGACAAATTGAAATTTTCTTTAAATGCTTTTGTGAAAACAAACTGAATAACAATCATTTAAAACTAGAAGAAGCCATGTAAACCTGTCAAGAACATTGTTTCTAATTAAAATTACTACTGACTTTATTATTTTATTTATTTATTTTTGGCTGCATTGGGTCTTCGTTGATGCCCATGGGCTTTCTCTAGCTGTGGTGAGCAGGGGCTACTCTTCATTGACGTGCGCAGGTTTCTCATTGCCTTAAGAAGGCAATGAGGAATAGCTTCTCTTGTGCGGAGCACAGGCTCTAGGCGCGCGGGCTTCAGTAGTTGTAGCACATGGGCTCAGTAGTTGTGGCTCACAGGCTCTGGAGTGCAGGCTCAGTAGTTGTGGCGCACGGGCTTAGTTGCTCCGCGGCATGTGAGATCTTCCCCGGACCAGGGCTTGAACCCGTGTCCCCTGCATTGGCAGGCAGATTCTTAACCACTGCGTCACCAGGGAAGCCCCTGACTTTAAAATTAAACAAAAAATTGGCCTGTTGGTTTGGATTCTAATCTTGTTCTGTTCACGGATTTGCATGTCCCTCTGAGCAAGTCTGTCGTCTTCATCTGCATTGTAGGGAAGTCACCTCTTCCATCAGTCCTTAGCACCTGCTCTGCAGCAGTGATTCAACCCTGAGCAGGCTGTTGGGAAGCTGCCTTACTCAGGTTTTGGTTGATTTGGGCAGAGTTACACCAGGAGGCAGGATTAGGCCAGGGGCTTTTTGCAGTGCTTGTTTTTGTATTATTTTACATTTATCACTCTTACATTCGACTGAAGAGACTAAGTGCACTGTTTTAAAGCAGAAAGGAAGTATCAGGTATTTGGGAAGCATTTACCAGATAGTTTAGAGGTTTTTAATTACCTGTGTTTATATGTGCTGTGCTCTGATAAAAATTTAAAGAAATCTTGCAACATTTCTGAGAAGCATCGATTCTGCTAATGAGAAACTGAAATACAGAGAATTTAATCTGAGGTCATATAGTCTTTCCTGCCTCAGAACAGAATGTTTCCAACTAGGATGTGGTGACAGATGTGTTGTAAAGATACCTAAGATTTCTTTGTTTGTCTTTGCCATTGTAGGAGGTGTAGGGGTGGGATGGCAAGTGGGACCAAACATGAGCTGAAGGTGCACTGGGGGCTGGGGAATTGTAACTCTTAGTGAGAAGGACTTAGGCAGATAGAAAAGGGGGAAGTTGGAGACTGTAATGCTTCCTGTCCTTGCTTTATAGTGCAGACTGTAGACTTGGCCATGTTTGCTGTAGAGTTAAGATTTGAAACGTCCCTAAAGAAAAGAAAATACAGGCAATCCAAAAGAGTTTTAAAGAAATTTCTTTTAAATTTTTTTAAAGAAATTTTTAGCAAGAGATTTTTAAATGGATGAAATTTCCATCCATTATTTTTTCAGGAGAACTTCTGGTCTTAAAGCATATGCTCGGGTCAGGGGCTTCCTTCTTGCCAACACCCCAGGATTTGGTCCCCTTATAACGTTTCCTTTAAAAGGGACTCTCCTTTTCGTAAAAGTATGAGCCTAGACCTATCCCTTCATCAGGTTGCAGACAGCTCTCTGCCCAGGTTAGCACTATCTGATTAGACCTCCCCTAGGTATAACTGTATTTAAGGAGAGTATTAAGTTGAAGAGGCTGGAGATTCCTTCCTTTCCAAGTGACCATTGTAACAAGGACAGTCCCAAAACATGTCTTTATATTCACCTCAACAGTCAAAGTAAAATTATTGATAAAAGCAGTGTTACCTAAATTGTCTCAAGGGGAATAACCTTGTTGAAGTGTTGTTGTGTAAATATAAAGAAGATATTATTTCCTCAAGAAACTTGTGATGCCACTTTTGTGTCATACATTTGCTTCATCACTCACAAGTCAGTACCCTTCACTGTGTTGGAATTAAGATGGGTCAGACTAGTCCAAAACCTGAGTTAGTTTAAAGTAGTTTTCAAACCTGGTTGCATGTTAGGAACACCTAGATAGTGTTTGGAAAGTATTAATTCCTAGACTCCACCCTCAAAGATTCTTATTCAGTGATAGAAATTGGGCCAGCAAGTGCTCTTAGTTTTCAACTAGTAGTGACTCAGTTTCCCAGCATACCCCAAATCTGAATTCCTTACTCCATTCCAGGTGCTATTAAAACCAGTGCTCTTAACTTCAGTCTTTTGATGCTTTGCTGTTGTTCTGCAAAGATGGCCATATGATTGTGTGTGCCTAATGAGTATTCAGTTTTGCATAATAGAACAGTTGTCTAGCCAGATATCTTTCTTTGCAATTGGAAAGCAATCAAGTGTCTATCTTTTTAAAAGCAAAATCCCCTCTTAATCGCTTAGTCCTTAGATAGATCAATTTGTTCATTTAGCAGATTATTGATTGAGCACCTGTTATGTGCTGGGCACGGGTCTGGGTGCCAGGGATAAGTCAGTAAATAACACACACTTTCTTATGAAGTTTATATATTTCCTGCTGGTGGAGGAGATAGACAAAGATATTATGCTGTCAGGTTGTGGTAAGTATAATGACAAAAATTAAGGTAGGGTAAGTAGTTAAGCTACTTTTTTTTTTTAAAGACTTAACCATCTTTTTGTTTTCCTATAATTTAGTAAATTACTTGCATTCAGAACCATTACTTTTTTGTTTCAGATATGTGTTAATGTTGGTGAATCCTATCGTAGAGGTTGGCTTTTCTCTGAAAATAGCTATTAGAGCTCTCACTGTCTCCTCACTTTTTTCAGCATACCAAAGCACAATACAGGATAGGAAAGGACAAGATAGATTTTGAAAATATGCTTAAATTTAGGTGTGTATAGTTACTGTGGATATTAATATACTGTTTTTACTGTTGCTGTCTTATAAGGTCTATATTAATGTTACTTTTATAGACTTAATTTTTTCTTGTCAAGTATTATATAAAATTAATAAATGTACACTAATGTAACCATCACTTAGGTCAAGAAGTAAATCATTTTCAGTAATTCAGGATCTCCACCCCTCCTCCATATGCCCTATCCTGATCATAATACTCTCCCTTCTCATTTTTGTAAATTCCAACATGATTTTCGTGAACATTTCCTTGCTCTCTTTTAATAGTTTTGTGTATGCATCCCTAAGTGATATACTTTAGTTTTGCTTGTTTGAACTTTGTGTAATTATACCCCATATTTTGTTTTGCTTTTTTTCTATCAACATTATGTTGGAGATTCATTCATGTGCTATGTAGGTGGTATTTCACTGAATGAATATACAGAAATTTACCCATTCTATAGTTGATGGACTATTCGGTTATTTCCAATTTTTGGCTAATATGAACAGTGCCCATTTTTGTTCATCTTTTCTGGGTATTCTTTAGGACATATATCAAGGAGTGGGCTTGCTATCAAAAGGTATGTTAAGTTTCAGCTTTACTAGATACTTCTTTTTTTTCTAACTGGTTTCCCAATAGACACTTAACTGGCAGTTTGTGAGAGTTCCTGTTGCTCCACATCTTCATGAATACTTAAATGTGATTCTTAATAGTTCTAATTTTTAAAAAAGCAGTAAAGGAAAAACCTATCCAGTTCTTCAAATTTGAATGTATGCTTTAGAGAAATCACTTCCTAGAGGTAAAGTAATAGAAATAGTATTGTGCCTGGATTGTGCAGGCAACATCCTAAATGCTTCACATAAATTATCTCATGTAATCTTAAGAAAATTCCAAAGCAATAGGTCTTTTACTATTCCCATTTTACGGTTAAGGAAACTGAAGTTTAGAAATATCAAATAACTAAGTCATTTAACTAGAAATGGCCTATTAAAGACAAATACAGATGTTTGCCCCTAAAGTCCAAGCTCGTGGTAATCATGCTTTAATGCCTTTTCCTCTTTTCAAAATATTGATGTGGCTTTGGAAACATGCTTCAAAAATGGAAGGGATAACCTTTGTGATCTCACGCAGACTTTTGAGAGGATATGTTTATACACAAAAAAATGACAAAAGTGACAATGTCACAATTGTGATCAACTGAAAATTTCCTTCCAGAGTGGCTGAGTCATAACTTCCCTGGTAAGGTTTTTGTCCTATACTTAAAAACAAAATGTGCTAATATTATGTTGTAAACTTCAGGTTTGGGCAAGGTGAATGACCAACGGAAAACAAAACCCTTATTAACATCAGCCATCATTACTAGGTCCCTGAAACAGTGAATGTTGCATCCTGAACTTTCCTTTCCCTTTTGTTACTCTAAAATATAATTTTATTACCATGTCATTAAAAATTAATGTGAATAACATCATAATCTTAAATCGCTTCGAGTTATTTAGTGAACCATGTCAGTTGCTGTAAGAAATACTAAGATGTATTCAGTGGAAAGGACATGCTTATGAGGCTCCAAACTAAGGAACTGTGTAACCTGTACGGCTTATCTGTACGCTGACATAGGACTGTTTAGAACGATGGATTCTGGAATTCTGTCAGTGACCTTAAGGCAGAAACAGCCTCTGCAGGTGTGTGGCTGCCACAGAGAATAGTCGAGATGTTTTTCTTACCAAGGGACTAGTAAATAAACGTTAATTTGCCTTATTCGGCCTGTTGGGAAACAAGACTAGTATGTAAAGTGTAGTGAGAGAGCGGTCACTCCTGAGCCAGGCAACCCTAAGGCCCGCTGCCTGAGAAGGGGTTGGGCGGAGGGAAGGCTGTCCTGGGCATTGGTTACGTGAACGTAGTCTAGACTGACTTCGCGAACCAGCAGTAACTCGAGCTGGCTGCAGGCATGGTGGCTGCCCACCCCTGCTCAAGGCCACGAAACTTCGGTTCCTCTGCCCTGATGTCAGGGCGTCCGTCTTGGACAAGGCAGGTACTTCTCGGCGGGCCCCTTCCACAAGAGATTCGTTTTATTAGAAGACAGGGAAGAGAAGGTATGAACTTCCTTGTTTGCCGAATGGCCGCTTCGACTTCCGCACGTTCTCCAAGGGAGCGGTGTCGGAGTTGCAGACCTGGAGCTCCGCCCCGGGCTTGGCCATGCCCTGAGCTTCCGGATTTTGGCACAAACAGAACTCTCCACCCAGAACACCTGCCGCACGGGTTCGATCCCCAACACGCTATTCTTGGGTCACAGCGCGTTTTCAGCACCCCCCACCGGAAACTGCAGCGGCGGAAACCCCAACTCCGAGGCGGATCCCATGACGGGCTTGGGTGATGTCTCGCGACGTTTCTTCAAATCTCACGAAGAAGGGTTGGAGGAGGCTTCACTGCACCGCCCCAGTTTTTACGTCATTGCAGAGTCACGCCCTTAGGCGCCCGTTAGCGCGCGTGCGCGTGTTGCGCACGCGCACTCGACTTTCCTCCGCCCCCGCGCGGGCTTCTCTCTGGCCAGTCGCGCGTGGGCTGAGGCCCTGGGCGGGCCGTGCGAAGGTTTGTTTGCCAAAGCGGGGTCCCCGCCGCAGTCTGGAGCTCCCTTCTTCAGGGGAGGGGGAAAGGGTGTAGCCCCCCTACCTAGGGTGAATGGGCTGTCGCTTGGGCTGTTAAGGGCAGGCTGGGGAGCACGGGGGCCGGGGCCGCGACCATGAACTCACCCGTGGACCCCGGAGCTAGGCAGGCGCTGAAGAAGAAGCCGCCCGAGCGGACGCCCGAGGTAAGGCCAGCTGGCCCGGCGCGCCTCCCGCTGTCCAACGGACAGCATCCCTCTGTCGGTCCGAAATTTGCGGCAACTGTCCCCTTGCCAGAGCCTCGCACCTGCTGCCAAGGTGTCTGTTCTCTGAGTCCCCGGCCCTGACCCGGGCCCTTGTCGCGGGCGGGTGACGACCGTCTTTCCCGCTCGCTGTGCCGCCTTCCCCGCACACCCGTCCTTGCCGGTGACTTCGCAGTGTTTTCGATAATAAAAGCACCATTACTAAATCGTATTTTCTTAGGGTAAAATGTGGGTCTCGGACTGAGATTGTCCCGTAGATAGGTAGACTGTGAAGAGTTGTAAGTGAACTATAACAGCTGTGTTATTAAGAAATAACTTCTCTTAAAGTTCTTTGAAATGCTGTCCAATTGCCTAAAGAAAGATAAAGTTTTCAAGATCAGTTTAAAACTTTGCATCCAGTCAGATGATGAATTCTGGTGGAGAATTATGCGTATCTGAAGATAAGTTCTGGGGAGGTAGTTTTTCAGACTGTGTCACTGGGAAATGTTACAGTATTTTGTGCTTGGATCCAAAACCTGCTTATTGAGTTAAATGATTTTCACTTGAGCTGAAGGCTGGTGTTCGGGCAAATAACTGAAACCTGTTAACCTTGGCAGTCCCTATAGAGGCTTAAATTGGGGCGGGGGGGGGGGGGGTGGTGTATGTTTCCAACCAAAAAGCAAAAACTAACAACAATGTGAATGGATTGTTGGATTGTCTTGTGTGTAATTGCAGTATATAAAATGAAGTGCTTTGGTTAGTTCTTCCCAAGTCACTTTTGTGTTTTTCAGATTTATAATGTTTTGCATAGTAAGTCTCAGTAATTTGGGCTGACCTTTTGTGACATGATATTAGTCAAGCTGTAATTGTAGCTGCTGGGTCAAACTTTGTTATTGGAAATCCTGATCTTTGCATAGAAACAAAGCAAATTCTACCACTTTCCACGGTCCTCTTTGAGACCTGCATTTGTAATCCCATGTGTCTTAATTTTCCTCTGATAATTCTTGAGGTCATTGTGAGTTAATTGAAAGCATTCACTTTGAACAGGTGAATCTACCATAGTTTTAATATCATTAGAAAGTATCATACAAGGCTTACAATGTATAATGTAGGTTTTACTTTTAAGTATTACTTATGATAAATTCACATTTTAATGGGAAGATCCTAATTTTCTTTAATAACAGAATTACCTACTTTGAAATTGCTTATTTTTGAGCTTTAGGAAAATTTCTAAACTGTTCACAAAGTTATGGTGGCCAGTGTGTGCTGTGTAAGTACTTTATCTTGTTTTACTGGAACAGCAGCGTTGTTTAAGGAAATGCTAAACAGCTGCCCACAGTACACAGACTGGAGCTCTGACATCTAGCAGCATAACTTGTTAACTGCTTGAATCACTGGCAGTGCTTTTTAAACTTTTATTTATTGATTTATTGGTTGATTGATTGCCAAGCCACGTGGCTTGTGGGATCTTAGTTCCCCCACCAGGGATTGAACCCGGGTCCTTGGCAGTGAAAGTGTGGAGTCCTAACTCCTGGACCGCCAGGGATGTCCCATCATTGGCAGTGCTTTTGAATGAGTGTAGAATTTGTTCGGGGTACAGATGTATCAATAAAGAAGTGATAAATTGAATCCTAGTGTTGAGCTATTTGTGATAAATAATTTGATGAGATTCTCATAGGGTCATGCCTGCTTTCAAAAGATCCTTATTCTTTTTAGTGGACTCTTAAGGGTCTGTTATAAATATATTCACTCAACAATTATTTGTTGAAAGCTTACCAGTTCAAGGCACTATTTCGTGCACTAGGACGTATCAGAGAACAAAACAGGCATGCCCTATTGGTGTTTACATTCTAACAGAAGGGGGAGGGGAGTAGGCAGATAAATATAATAAACAAGTGTGTTACATAATATGTTAGCTGATAATTGCTAGTTAAAGAGCAGGATAAAGGAATTGGAAGTAAGGGACAAGGACTGGGTGCAATTTAAGGTAGTCGGTGTCCTGGTTGAGATGAATTTTGATTAAAGTCTGATTCATGTGATAGAGTTAGCCATGGGGATATATGGGGAAATAGCTTTCCAAGTAGAATAGTCATTGCAAAAGTTCTAAGATGAGAACGTGTCTGGTGCATTCAAGGAGTAGCAAGGAGCTCTGAGTGACTGGAGAAGAGTGGTAAGAGATGAAGTCAGAGAAGTGATAGTGGTGGTGTAGGATGGAGCTTATCATTGCAGGACTTTCTAAATTGTAATTTCTTTGACTTTTACTTTGAGTGAAAGAGGGTTTTGTTTTCCACCAAAATATTTTGAAGCAGAGGAATGATGTTATCCTAGTTTTTAAAGCATCCCCTGACTACTTGCTGGGTTGAGAATAAACAGTGTGGGAGCAAGGGTAGAAAGAAATAGGAACATCAGTTAGAGGTTATCACATTAAAGCAGGGAAGAGATCATAACTCAGAGTAAAGTGATAGTAATGCTGGTGGTGAGTAGTAGTCAATTATGGAAACAGGATTTAGCCAACACGATTTGCTAATGGATTAGATTGTGCTTTGAGGAAGAAAAAAAAAATCGAACATGATCTCAAGGTTTTTGGGCTGAATAACTGGAGTGTTGGAGTTGCCATTGAAGAGAGTTTGAGCTGCCATCAAAGAGACTGGGAGGGGCTTCCCTGGTGGCGCAGTGGTTGAGAGTCCGCCTGCTGATGCAGGGGACACGGGTTCGTGCCCCGATCCGGGAAGATCCCACATGCCGCGGAGTTTCTGGGCCCGTGAGCCATGGCCGCTAAGGCTGTGCGTCCGGAGCCTGTGCTCCGCAACGGGAGAGGCCACAGCAGTGAGAGGCCCGCGTACTGCAAAAAAAAAAAAAAAAAAAAGAAAAAGAAACTGGGAAAGCTGCAGGAGGAGTAGTTTTGGGGAGGGCAGTGGATCAGAAATTCAGTTTTGAACATGTCACATTTGAAATGTCTGTTAGAAATGTCAAGTAAGGAGTTGCGTATACAATTTATAATTATTTCTAAAGAGAAGGCTGGGTTGGAAATAGAAATTTTATAGTTATTAGCTTACAGATAATGTCGAAACTCATGAGACTAGATGAAATTACCGAAGTAGTGAGTGTACAAGGGAATAGAAGAGGACCAAAGACAGTGCCCTGGGGCACTTGATCACTACAGGGTCAGGGGAGAAGAGCAGAAACCAGCAAAGGAGAAGGCATGGGAGCAAACAGTGCAGGAGAAGAAAAACGGATAGAGTGGTGCTGTCCTAGAAGCTAAGCCAATAAAGTGTGTAGGAGGTAAAGCATTGATTCAGCTTATTTTTCCTTGAATACGTACTGGGTACAAAGCATTATAAAAAATATACAAATAGATAAGAATCAGTGTCTTATAATCTTGTAATCAGATGTTTGCATCATATAATTAATGAATAAAGAACTCTTCTGTTTGTTTCTGGGACAAAATTAATGGTTCTTTTATTTTGACCCATCTGTTGTCCTTACATGAAACTCTCAACTCAAGCATAATCCTAGTGAGCCAGACACTGAGAATGGAAACTTTTGTAAAGTATGCCATTTAGAACTGTGTTCTAACACAGTTTTTACTTTTCTGGCCATTTCTACTGTAGATTCAGCTTCCACAGCACATTGTCTTTCCTGAGCTAGTTCTCTGATTTCCTTTCCCACCTTACAAAGATCTTTTTTTTTTTTTAATGGAAAATTTTAGACTTAAATACTCTGGGGGAAGCTAAGTGCTCTAAAGCAAGAAAAGCTGTTAAGGTACTCATTTTGAGTCGTTATGCCAAAATTAAAGATGCCACAGTCAAAACTGAGACCTTGAATTTGGCTTTTTCTGAACTCAGTCCATATTCAATGCCATTCTTTTTTTTTTTTTTTTTGGCGGTAAGCGGGCCTCTCACCGCTGTGGCGTCTCCCGTCGCAGAGCACAGGCTCCGGACGCGCAGGCTCAGCGGCCATGGCTCACGGGCCCAGCCGCTCCGCGGCATGTGGGATTCTCCCGGACGAGGGCACGAACCTGCGTCCCCTGCATTGGCAGGCGGACTCTCAGCCACTGCGCCACCAGGGAAACCCTCAGTGCCATTCTTTCTCTGTAATCTTTCTTTTTTACCTCGGAATGAACACCTTATTTCTCTTATATTTCTGTCTCTAAGTACCATGTTTTGTGCATATTAAATGATCAGTAAATACGTTAAACAGAACAAAATTTAGAATTAATTTTTTAAAGTCCTCATGTTAAAAAGATAATACTTCTGTTCATTAGAATTGCTGATTTTGTACATCCTGGGTGGTCTCATTCTGCACCATGACTTCAGTTAATTTTTATAGGCTGACACCTAGGTCTGTATAGGGCATGTTACCCCCTTCCATATGCTTTAGATTCATATATCTAACCAGTAAATTGTCCTCCAGGTTCTTCAATCACTAGTCTCAAATTGAAACCATCATCATTCCTCCTCTTTAATATTCTGCTGGTGACTGCCCCAGTTGCTCAATCCAGAAATTAGTGTTTTTACTCTTGATTCCCCCTGCTGTCTTCCTCTCTATATCTAACTGGTCACTAAATCTTGTTTGATTTTACATCTTGAATCTCTCTCTTCCTCTTCCTATCCAGCTGTACTACCCTAGTTCACACTTTTATCGTTTCACCCCTGACTTTTTGCTTGAGTCTTTTTATTTATTGTCATATTATTGCTAGAGTGATCTTTCTAATACTCGGGTCTGATCATCTTCTATTCTTGCTCAGAATTTAATTATTTCCCACTGCCTAGATAGGTTAGCAATATAAGTTATCATCCAGATCATTTTTGAGAATTAAAAGAGGTGGGTTAATATTTATACCAGGAAAACAGATTAAAGGTCTGTCTCCAGCAAATTGAGATGTATGGTTACCTCACGCAGATGATAACATTAATTTATCCATTCAGTTAACAGATGATATGTTAGGCACAATACTAAAAGTC